CCCTCTCACGTCACGCTAAAAAACTTTATCAAAGCCAAAGTCTTTGACTCCGACGCGCTACTGGTTCCTAGAGGAGGTTCCCTCACAGCAGACTGAGCCGACCCGCCGTGCATCGTCTGCCCCACTGCGTCGCTCGCCCACAAGCCCTTCCCCGACTTACCTCCTGGCTACGAACGCTACGAACCTCTCGAAAAGGTCTACATCGACTTCATGATTCTCAGCCAAGACGGGCTTGACGGCGAAAAGTACACGCTAACCTTCATCAACGCATCCACGCGTTACGTCTGGGCTATCAACACCGATTGTCGCTCTCTTGCCTTCGAGAATCGCTTGGATAAAGCACGCAGAACGTCAATCAGGGTTGAAGCTGAAAAGTTACCAGACGGGTGGAGGAACGGAGTTCTTCTCGACTGAGTTCAAAAGAACTCTTCACCAAGAAGGGGATTGAGCATCTAGTGTCCTTGCCCTATGCTCACGAGCAGCAGGGAGTAGCAGAACGGACAAACAAGAGCCTCGCCACAAGAATGAGGGCCCTCATGAAGCAGTCGGCCATCCCAACCAAGTATTGGCCATTTGTGATGAATCACGCTGTTCGGCTGCACAACTTGCTATCCTCCCAAAGCCTCGAGAACAACATCTCGCCTTACAAAGCTTGGACGGCCAGAAAAACTGACACGCGTCTTCTTCGGGTGTTCGGCTGCATGGTACAGTACAGGCCACACACAGCAAGAACAGGAAAGTTTGCTGACCGGGCACGCTGGGGCATTCATCTCGGGATAAAAAAGGAATACAAGGCGTGGATCGTGCTGGACTACGCGACACACAAAGTGACAAAATAACGTGACTGCATCTTCTACGAGAATCTGACCCTGCCACTGTTCAAGGAACATCGCGAAGCTGACAATGCACCGGAAAGGGTTTTCAAGGGACACCGCAGCTTCGCCACGTCACGGGATGAAGCTGACCAGGCAAAGGACGCAGACGCATCTGACAACACACACCATTCGACTCCTTTCCATACATCCCCCTTACAAGCCCATTCCAGACACCGACTTACATTCCTGTTTCTCAATTCGATCCTAACGATACAACTCATGAAGCCCACAATTACAACAGCATAGCATGCCAATCTCCAGATTCCGAGTTACCTCCACGCAACTCTTCGCAAGACACCATCCGTCCCGGTCATGACAGGGACAACAACGTCGTCGAAGTTACCACCTTCCACGACTATGACCGCCTCCACTACGAAAAAAACCAATGAAACCGGCCTCCGCATCCTTGGGTTCGCAGTCGCTGTTTGCCACACCTCCCCCAAGGAACCCACCACCATTCGTCAAGCCCTGTCTGGACCCGACAGTGAGAAATGGAAGGCAGCCATGGCCGCAGAAGTTGCTGTGCTGAAGAGTCGCGGAACGTGGACGCTGGTTCCACGCTCATCCGCGAAGGGGAGAAACATCCTCAGTGGCAAGTGGGTCTTCCGAATCAAAGCGCTCGCGGATGGTTCCATTGACAAGTACAAAGCGAGATGGGTGGTACGCGGCTTCGAACAAACTCACATGGTGGAATACGATCTTACCTTCGCGCCCGTCAGAAGACACACCTCAGTGCGCATCCTCATCTGCATCGCAGCCGTCAAACAACGTCCGCTCCGACAGATAGATGTCGGTAGTGCATTCTTGTACGCACCAGTCGACGCCATCATCTTCGTCGAACAGCCGCACGCCTTCGAAGAAAGCGACGGTGCTGTCTGTCTTCTCCAAAAATCCCTTTATGGGGTTAAACAAGCACCTCGCCTGTGGCAGCGGTACCTGCACACCGTTCTCACGGATCTCGGATTCACTCAGCTGCCGCATGACCTTGGGATGTACCGGAAGGAGTCGCGCGGCAAATTCATCCTTCTTGTCCCCTATGTCGGCGACCTCCTCTACAACGGAGATGACATGGAGCTGCTTGACCGGTTCGAGGAAGAAATCAAGGTGAAGCTCGAGGTGACGATCAACCACAACGTCACGCAGTTCCTTGGTCTCAATATCACCCATTCCACCACCTCCATTCACCTCTCTGCCGCTAAATACGTGGAAACAAAGGCGAAGAAATTCGCCATTGCCCCGATCAACCTCACCACCCCCTTCCGCACTCCTCCTCCTAATCATGAATCCGACACCACGCCGCTCTCCATGAAAAATGATCGGCTTTATCAGCAGCAGTTGGGGTGTCTCCTGTTCGCCGCCGTCACGTGCCGGCCGGATCTCTCCTACGTCGCAAGCCAGCTCGCACAGTACCTGAAGCTACCTGAAGGGGAGAATCTACTGGACCTACGCTGAGCACTCCAATACTTCATCTCTACCCCTGACATCGGACTCACCTATGAAGCCAACTTAACTGCTACTCTGCATCTTCACGGCTACGTAGACGCAGACCATGCGGGAGACATTAACAACATACGCTCCCGCACAAGATTCATTTTTCAACTCCAACCTGCCGGACTCATCTCTTGGAGCTCCCACAAGTAGGAACTCATCGCCCTTTTGTCAGCCAAAGCAGAGTTCATCGCCGTCAGCGCAGCTGTTCGCGAAGGACTGTACCTGATGGAGCTCCTGCAGGAAGCAAAAGTGACGATGAACGGGCACCTTACGTTACTCTGCGACAATCAAAGCGCGATCAAAATCGCGGACAAGCCCGGCTTCGTGAACTGCACGAAACACATCGCACTCTGCTACTTCTTCGTGAAAGACGAGATCGAGAAGGGCAAGGTCAAACTCACGTACTGCCCAACCGGTGACATGGCAGCAGATTTCTTGACCAAGAAGCTGCCACGTTAGAAGTTCCAGCACTGCACCGACCTCTGCGGGATCACGAAGAAATCCCACGTGGCTCACCTTCAGGAGTGAAGGGGAGTGTTGGAATAACCGAAAGGTTATCATAACATTCCCGAAGGTTCTCTCCTAATGCGCCACTTCATAACAAAGCAGCGCGACTGTACCAGTACCGCAATAGCTCATATAGAGCATGCGGAAGCTCGAGAGTCACCCGAAGGTCAACAGTCGAAGTCAAGTCAAACGGTCGTGACTGTTGACTGTCCAGTAACCGTACTCGAAGGTTACACGCTGCAATATGGTAATTGTCGAGTCGAGTAATAGTCGCGGTGATTGTAGCAATGTAATGCAGTTAATAAAGGAATGTACCCCTCAGATTACATGGCTAGCTAGATTGCTATTTATACCTTTGTAATCCTAACGTCCTGTTCTCTTTCAAACTTTATTAACAAGGTCATTACAAAGACTTCATTGTCTTCTCTCAACTTAGCAGTCCTATCCTATCCACTTCGATTCCTAGTTATAACAACGATAATCCCCAGAGATGACCAGCACTTTAAAAATGTGCTAGGGATTATCCACCAGCCTTGATTCTGGTGGATAATCCCCACCATTCCCCACCAAAACTACGGAGGGCTATACAACATATGCACGGTGGCCGAGCGACTCCGCTACTCCCGCGGCGCCAAGAAGTCAGTTCATGGCTGAAGACAAGCCAGTGACGAGCTGATGTCGCCGCACAAAAGATAGCTGAGGTAAAGGAGGGAGGGGGGTTGTGTGTGCTCGAAGGAGGTTCGAACAGGGGACTGGGACAGGGGACAGGAGCAGAGAGGGGTGAGGGGGAATGGGGAGAGGTGAGGGGGAATGGGGAGAGGTGAGGGGGAATGGGGAGAGGGGAAGGGGAACGGGGAGAGGGAAAGGGGAATGGGGATAGGGGAATGGGGATAGGGCCATGGGATTGAGGAGAGGTGAGGGAGGGGAAATGGGAAGAGGAGAGGGGGGGTTGGGTGCGGGGTATCCGTGTGTCGAGCTGCTTTGTCTGTGATAGAAACAAGTGGATTCGGGACCAGTAATGGAAGGAAAGAAGTGAATGAATGAAGCGCTATAAAGCACTGTGTGTTGTAAACGGACTGTGTGCTAGGAACGCACTGTGTGCTGGGAACGCGCTGTGTGCTGGGAATGCACTCTGTGCTGGGAACGCACTGTGTGCTGGGAACGCGATGTGTGCTGGGAACGCGCTGTATGCTGGGAACACGCTGTGTGCTGGGAAAGCGCTGTGTGCTGGGAATGCACTGTGTGCTGGGAACGCACTGTGTGCTGTTTCTCATGCGAACGTTTCTCGCTCACTCAAATCTGCTCTTCATAGTAGCAGCAGGTTTGGTCACATAGCTTTCAGTCGCTGCCACATACCGTCATCGCCTGAATATAAGACATATATGTCTTCTCTTATACACTAGAAACAAAAAATATTCGGTTGTCTTGTAGATGGGGTGGTTTGGGGTGTCTTATAATTCTTATAATTCTTATAAAGGCACCCCTGCCTTCTATTCCACAATGTCTTATATCCGCGCGATGACGGTACTCAGGTGACCTTTGGGGCCCCACACACAGGCCTCAAGAGAGGATCCAATGTTATCTTTCTCGTATGGGTGTTTGACTTGTAGCGCTTTTTCTGTAAGGGTATTTTCTCCTGTACTTTTTATTATAAGGGTCCACCAGATTTTTACTTCTTTTTTTTCATTAGTTTGTTATACAACTTCACCTTTTTTGGCTAATTAATGTAATTACACTAATACAGACATGCATTCAGAGTGTTTTCTATCCCCAACCTAAGCATCAGTGGGCCCGTTGAAATCCTTTGCCGGGCAACGTTTCTTAATGCTAGAAAATATCTCGACCACCTTCAGCCAGTCAAGGTCAGCGTGTAGCAGGGCCACTGTCATTAGGTCGCCCAATTTAGTGTCCCCTAGGCTGCTGCAGGACCTTCTTGATGCGGTTCTGGTGGCTGAACCCACGCTCGCACTCAACCGTGCTCAGAGGCAGCACGGCTACGGCCTGCCATAAAAGGACCCTCCACAGTCAGAGGACTCCACCATGAGTGTTAGCGACTTGAAGAAGCCCATGTTGGCATGGTTGGTGTTGATGGTGTGCAGGAAGAGCACAAGCTCCTCCTCACATGCCTTAGAGGAAACTTATGTCGATAGGGGAAGGAATTCAACACAAACACATGGGGAAGAAGTTTGAGCGTGAGTTGACACGAAGGGCAAAACATATTCCAGCAAGACATGGCAGGAGGTTATACGAACCATAACTTAAAATGCCAAACCATAACTAAACACGCCACTCACGCAACCTGGCAAATACAGGTGAAACAGCCTGTCTAGCAGCCAGAGCGACTCACGTCACTTCCACAACAATGTCTGATGGTCTTCAGGGTACACTCCTGGCCTGAAGATCTTTGCCCCGTTCAGATCCTGCAGGTCATCCAGATGGAATCCCGGCCTCCCCTTGACCTCCTTCGCGTACTCCCTGCACGAGCTCGTGTTGTTGTTGTAGTCGCCCTTGCCTACCAGCCTTGCAATGGGTTGCACGCATGAAGGTATGAACAGAAACAGTACCTGTTGCTTCTGAAACTTCACATTCAGGTCGTTCAGAATGTCCAGCACATCTGCCAAGAAAAAAACATCATCTGAAATTTAAAATGGGTGACCAGTTCATACAACTTGTACCGAATCTCGTAAAGAAACACGATAATGGCCGGCAGCAGCTTCTCCACGAGAGAGCCACCTGGCGTCGTGGATTCCATGAAGCTCAAGATTGGTCTCGCACAACGTCTCCTGCGGACTCTTGAAACGCCCGTGATGGACCGAGCTTATGGCTACATGGTCGGCAAATGTTCGTATTGCGTGGTCGATGACGTTGAACTCTGAAAACTAGCAGCATCTTTGGCTGCCAAGGCCTCACGGCATGAACAAGGAGAAACAAATGTATTACCATGGATTGTCATGACATCGGTACTCCATAAAGAGCGACTAAAAACATGCGGTGTTGTCACAATACGTGCCATTGTATACTTACCGATGAGCGATGCAATGGCACGAGACAAGGTGTGGCACTCTAGCTCATAACCGCACAACAAGGCCGTTATGTGGGCCGACCATCACGGATGCACCATCCGTGCTGATCCCAGCAATATTCTCGAGGTCGATGCCAACGGACTGAAGATACGCGCACAACAACTCCAGCATGCTCGAGGCGTCGCACTTCCCAACGGTGAGTAACGTCGAGAACTCTGTTACGACTTCGTTCTTCTTCACATGAGCGAGCGACATGCACAAGAACTGAAAAAATACTCACTCGGAAAAGTAGCTGCTTTTTTTTATCAAGGGGGAGGTTCGGGGTCTCCAAATCCACCATCAACTTGATGACTCTGATGTAAGAAGAGATGAGCGACTCAGACCTGCACGTGTAGACGGTGTTCTTCAGAGCGGTGATGAGGTGGAGGGTTGTCGAATCGAGCCCTTCGTACTCGGCCAACAGCGACTGCCTCAGCTTCTTACTCTCCTTAGCCTTCATTGCCAAGTGTGCATCCCGGTGGGCGTTGGAGCACTGGTGCGTGCGGATACTTTGTTTCTGCATGTCACGACCACCAGTGCCGCCTTTCCCATATTGTGTGTTCGCTCCCTCAGCTCCGTGCTCAATGCATGTGCTGCACCTCAACACAGGAAAACCATCGCCCGTCTTCTCAAGAAGAAGCCATGGGAATAGATTCTCCCACCAAGTTTTAAACCGCCTATGCGCTATGGCAAAAGCAGCCTCGAGGTCTGGCGAGTCATCCGCTTCCTCGGCGACCTCGTCATCATTGTCGTCTTCCTCGTCTTCGAGGTCGACGGGGTCGGTACTAGACCTCTTACAGAAGGTACGGTAAGGCAGGTCTGCTTCCACTTCGTCTCGGTTACAGTTCTTGCCTATCTCTTGACAGACGCGCTGTACGGTCCTTGAGTCTTGACAGACGCGCTGCACGGTCTGTCATGGGGCGCGCCGTCACGTCAATGCGTTTCTGTATCCCACCGCATTCGGAGTGATGTGGGGGTACACTAGCGGGGGCAATCGTGCGTGATATTGTGTAAGGGTCCCATGCCAAAACACTTTCGCATCAGTGTATACAGTCAGACCACTCTGAAATATCAGTGTGCTAACCACGTTATACCTTTTCTTGTAAGGGTTCACAGCAGAATAGGTCTGAAATATAAGGGTCCAAACCAGAACCCAGCCTTAAAGGGTCATAAGAGTATTTTAGACTGATATCATGGGGGCTGCTCCCCTTGCACTCACTCTCCTCGCACTCATATTCCTCCTCTCACTCACTCTCCATCTCTCGCTCACTCTCCTCACTCTCCTCCAAGCACTCACTCTAACCAACCCTTCTCAGCAGCAGCAATGGAGACAGAGCCTCTGGCGGGGTGGAGAGCCATGAGCTCTCCCCTCATGAGCACTCAGTAGAGAAAAAACACTTATGACTCTCCCCTCGCCACGAGGGTGTGTTTGGAGAGGCCAGTGGGAGGCGAGGGGTGGAGAGTGGAGAACGGAGAGTGGGGGTTGGGGAGTGGGTAGTGGGTGGTGGGTAGTGGGTAGTGGGGGGTGGAGAATGGGGAGTGAGTGACCCATTCTCCAGGCAGTTTGGGAGAGAGTGAGGCGGGGAATAAACGCCCTAGTGGCCGCAGCACAGCCAAGGACCCACGAGGGCACCAACCTACCGTATCAACCCCTCATAAACCCATCAACCCATCTATCGGACTTAAAACACACAGTCAAGGGGCCAATACGGCATCAACCTGTTATGAGGCGACTTCCGAGTCCATTCAAAGGGCACAGACAAGGGCTCACTAGGGGTCAACCCATCACGAATCTTCCAAATTGTAGCCGTACCGAGCAAGAAAGAATAATTTCTTCTTCCCCTTGCCTCCCTTTCCCCCTCCTTTTCCCGTCCCCTTGGCGCTCAGTTGAGCCGCCCTAGCAGCTGCAGCAGCTTTGGCATCTTCCCTCTTCTTCTTCTCCTCCTCCCTCCGTGCTGCTGCTGCCTCTCTCTCTGCTCTCAACTCACTGCCAGAGGTAGGGGAAGGGGGAAAGGGGTTCAGGGAAAGAGGATGTAAGGAAATGGGGAGGGATGGGAAGAAATGGGAAGGAATGGGAAGGTGTGGGAAGGTGTGGGAAGGAATGGGAAGGAATGGGAAGGTGTGGGAAGGAACGGGTAGGTGTGGGAAGGAATGTGAAGGTGTGGGAAGGAATGTGAAGGTGTGGGAAGGAATGTGAAGGGTGTACTGACTCCGTGGATGCACTGAGTGCTGTTCTGCATGAGAGCATTTCTCACCTTTTCCAATCTGCGCTTATCAGCAGCAGCAAGAGCGGGCAGTGGTACCGGTGATATAGATCTTACGGGCTAGGGGCTTGCCTTGAGATGCCACCGATGTTGGTCTGACTTTTGCCTTGAGAATTCTCAAAAGTCAAACCAACATAGCTTGCCTTGAGATGCCACCGATGTTGGTTTGACTTTTGCCTTGAGAATTCTCAAAAGTCAAACCAACATAGCTTGCCTTGAGATGCCACCGAGCCCGCCATCGCGAGGGTGGCGCCGTAGCTGATTGCAAGTCACTCAGCTCTGGGGGGCCGAAACTGCCATGCGCTGACTCAATACAAAACTCACTCATCATCTCTCTCACTCGCTCTAGTCGCCCCCTCTCGGCAGCAGCGGAGGAGACGGAGCCTCTGGGGGTGGGGGGTCCGGACCAGACGGTCATAAACCATGGAGCTGGTTTAAGAGTTTGATAAACAAACGCACTCATCATCTCTCACACTCACTCTCATCATCTCTCACACTCACTCTCATCATCTCTCTCTTACTCACTAAAGTCGGACCTTCTCAGCAGCAGAAGTGGAGACAGAACCTCTGGGGGGGCGAACTGCCATGAGCCATGAGCCATGAGCCTCTGGGGGTGGGACTACCATGGGCTAGCTCAAGAAATCTCTCATCACCTCTCTCGCACTCACTCCAGTCGGCCCTTCTCAGCAGCAGCGGTGGAGACAGAGCCTCTGGGGGGGCGAACTGCCATGAGCTCCACTTCAAACACCAATGTGGCGCTGCCACGTGGACCAATGAGAAATGGGGAAGGAGGGAAAGGTGAGGTACTTTCTGAAGGAAATTTCACAGGAGGAAAATCAGGGCGAAGATGGTAGCAGGAGAGGGGTTAAAGGGGTGGGGGAAAGGGAACGGTAGGAGATGGAGGGAGGAGAGAAAAGAAGCCGATCATTGTTGGGATTGGGCTTAGAGCGAGCCTGCATGCTGTTGTCCAGGCACACGAGGGAAAGGGAACGTCCACGCATGCATGCATGGGCATACCCTGGGATGGATGCATGGATGTATGCATGGATGCACGGATGCATGTGTGTATGAGTGCATGGATACACGGATGCATGTGTGTATGAGTGCATGGATACATGCACATTCGCGGACAGACCTACTCTGGGATAAATACACGAAAGAATGGATGCATGGGCATGTATGGGCATGTATGGGCATGTATGGGCACGTATGGGCATGTATGGGCATGTACGGGCATGTATGGAAATGTAGGGGAATGTACAGGCATGTGTGGGAATGTATGGGCATGTACAGGCGTGTAGGTGAATGTATAGCCATGTACGGTCATGAGTGCATGCATGACACGGGCATGTACGGACATACCCTGGAGGAATTTCGGGAGGAGAACCGTCATCTCCATATGCATAGTCTGATTGACACGTCAGCTCTGCCAGATCACCCACCTGACGTCAGCACGTGCGATTGAGTCAGGTGCATGAGAAGGGGCAAGCGAGGGATTAGGGGCAAGGGGTCGAAGAAACAGGCTCGCACCCGAAACAGTATCGTGCTCATGTGGGAACGAACAATGATAGTCTCTTGCTTGATAGCAATGTCTCATGTGGGAACAAACAACTAGTTTAGTTCTACAGATGGGGTGGTTACCCTTAAAAAGAAACCCGTGCTTGGCATTAATGCAATAACAGAAGAGAAAAAAACCACTCACTTTCACGTTATTGATGGCTATTATCCCATGCACTAGCTAAATCCACTCCCGCTCTGCCTAACTACAATAATACCAGATTCTCACCTTCATGCTCTTAATGCCGATATCCCATGCGCGAATCACCTTCCCCTTGCCCACTTCGAATGTGAACACAGCATTGTCCTCCCTCGAGCTGTCAAACACCTCGCCCGTGGTCAACCGCCCCTCGTAGTGCACTGGACATTGAGAGAAGGGGGAAGAGGAGCGGGAGAGGGGGAGAAGGGGGAGGGGAGAAGGGAGGGGGGAGAGAGTATGTGGTGCGTGAGTGCGGTCATGCGGCGAACACTGCGTTGACCTCCCTCGAACTTTCAAACACCTCCCCCCATAGTGCACTAGAGACGGGTCCGGGGGAGGGAGGGGGAGGAGGAAGAGGCAGAGAGGATGGTTGGGCTGGGAGTGAGGGCGTGGAGGGAAATTGGGTTGGGATGGTAAACACAGAATTGTCCTCCCTCGAGCTCCAACACCTCGCCGGTGGTTAGTCTCCCCTCATAGAGCACTGGGTACGGAAAGGGGAAGGGGGAAGGGGAGAAGGGTGGGGGGGGAGGGGGTGGGGGGTTGAGGGACAGAACTGTCCTCCCTCGAGCTCAAACACCTCGCCGGTGGTTAGTCTCCCCTCGTGGTGTACTGGGTACGACATAGTACACTTATTTCCGGATAGAAACACACCACGTCACCCCTCGCGCAGGCACTTTACTCAAATGAAATGCCTGTAATCCAACATAAATTGAAAATAATAATTTAATCTTGCTCTTCACCACGCCGCCGTCGCCGCTTAAATCCATGCGGACGAGATTCGACGCGTCGCTGGTGCACGATACTATTAGCGCTACTAACAGAGCTCACACGTTAGCAGGAGAGCTAACAAGCTACCAAATTACTAAGGTAAACCCACGCTTGCCCAGTGCTGAAGTGAGCAAGTGTTACGCGAATCAGTGTGATGAGGATGACAAGGAAGGCGGGGGATGACGTGGATGATGGGGAATGCGGGTGCGTGAACTGTCGAATTTAGGGCTCCGGTTCCTGGCTGGTGAAAAAAGGCGGGAAAAGTACCCGTTGTAAAAATTGAGCTTGGATAATATCAAGGACATCAGAATTAGGACTGACTGACAGCTGTCGAAATTTCTAGGCACAACGGGAAGGGGAGAACAGAAATGCTGCTGTTCCGCGATATTGAAGCACTCACGTTACTTGAAACAAAACAAGTTTTAAACGACGAAAGCTTTTGAGAGCTTCTGTAAACAACATAGTGTGCATTACCAAACACATTGCAAGAATTGGCCAAGACCCACAGCGAATTTCTGGAACATCCTTTCGTGAGCATAGGCAGCTCAGAACATATTATTTATGGGTGAGTTTATATGGCAACCAGCCATTTGAGGCTTGAGCGGTCTTATCGAATCAAGTCACTCATTTGTTGATGCTGGCTTTCCGAGCCGTTCTAATAATGCATCTGGTGTCAGGAAGAATGGAATCAATAGCCTTGGAGTGTACTTCAGCTGGTGGAACCTGCAAAGCGAAGGACAGAATTGACCAGACTGATTGGAGTTGAACACACGATGTCATTGCATTTTTCTTTTTAGTGAATTACGGCAAGTGATTCCTGCTCCAGTCAGTGAGAGGAATGGATTAAACACTTGGACTTGGTGGGTCCATTCTCTGGAAACACGCTGACTTCCTTGGGATAGAAGCGGAGACAAAATAAAGTTCACTTGCTGCCCATGGGAAAACCTGAGAAAAGAGGGGAGCCAGCTTCTAGTTGTGGCATTCCGCTCCTTGTAAAATGCACTTGGTGCCCAGATTTCTGTCCGTGCACCTCATCTCAAGGGCTCAAAATGCTTTGGAACAAAGAACTCTGCGCGTTGCTCACCAGGAGTGGAAGGGGAGGGCGAAGCAGTGTAGGTGAAGGTGGTTGACACTGTTGAATGGCGGGCGGTGGAAGCCAAAGCTACCAGGGGGGCGGGGAGAAGGGGGAAGGGGGGATGGGGGGAGCTGAGGAGAAGACTAGGGTACGGGAGGGAGAAGCAGGGCAGTGCAAGTGAAGGTGGTTGACACTGTTGAACGGAGGACGGTGGAAGCCAAAGCTAGGGGGGCATTGGGAGGGTGAGAGGGGAACGGGGGGTAGGGGGACCTCATTCCCACGTACTCATGCACAGACTTTCCCTGAGGCCCGGGCTGGGGAGGCAGGACGGAACAAGCTGTTTCACTGAGGCCCGGGCTGGGGAGGCAGGACGGAACAAGCTGTTTCACTGAGGCCCTGGCTGGGGAGGCAGGACGGAACAAGCTGTTTCACTGAGGCCCTGGCTGGGGAGGCAGGACGGAACAAGCTGTTTCACCGAGGCCAGGGCCCCCTTGCTCTCGCACAGACCTGCTGGTACCACTGAGCGTCTGCAATTGCCTTTGAGACGTCTCAAAACTGAGCGTCAGGAATTGATCATGCGAGCTCTCCTTCTGTTACTTTTGGGATTCCAAAAGTATTTCCAATACGCCGGGGTTGATTTATCATCACATGGACTCACTGGTACTCCTTGGCGTCGGGTGCGTGCTCCTTCACGAGCTCTTGACTTGACCCAGTGCTACCATGCTCTCCACTGCATGGGATGAGCGGAGGTTGATAGACACTGACCCACTGAGACCCAGGTTGACTCATTGGCGCACAGACTCACTGGTACTCCCTAACGTCTGACGAATTGCTTCTGGAATTCTCTAACAGCATTTCCAATGCACTGCTGTTGACTTGGTTTGACTCACTATAGCGCAGACTCACTGGTACTCCTTGGCGTCGGGTGCGTGCTCCCTCACGAGCTTGTGGCCCAGTGCCACCATGCTCTCCACTGCATGGATGGTAGGAGAGGAGATTGACTGACGTTGACTTGACTCACTGAGACTCAGGTTGTCCTACCAACACACGGACTCACTGGTATTCCTTGGCATCAGGTGCGTGCTCTCTCACGAGCTTATGACCCAGTGCCACCATGCTCTCCACTGCATGGATGGGAGGAGAGGAGGGGAGGGGCGGGGGGAGAGAGGAGGGGAGCTTATGACCCACTTTCACCATCCTCTCCACTCGATGGATTGAGGGGAGGAGCGAGCGGAGCGTGAGGTAGGGGGGGAGATGGGATAGAGGAGAGAGGACGCGAGGACGGGAGGAAGGAGGGGAGCGTTTGACCTATCGCCACCATGCTCACTGCAAGGGAGGAGGGGAGAGACGAGGGACGAGTGGAGGGACGAGTGGGGGGATGAAGGTTGGTTGGCAGGGAGGGACGAGGGGGTGAGGAGGAAGGGAGGGAGGAGAGGAGGGCCGAGGGGAGGGAGGAAGAAAGAAAAGAGAGGGGAGCTAATGACTCACCGCCACCATCCCCTTGGATGAATCGTGAACATAACAAGAGAGCTTACAGGAAAAGGTAAGCTTTGGATTAGAGCAATGCAAGCGAGCAAGGGCGAAGTGCAAAGGCGGAAATGCTGATTGTGCAAGTAGGAAATGAACGGAAGAGGTGCAAGGGTGGTTGGGACAGATACAAGAACGGAAGGGACGTGGAGAGAGATGGGGTTAGATGGAAGATTCGAGCCAATGCATACGCACATGAATGCACAAATCCATGCACACATTCGCATGCATTGATGCATGCATGTGTATGCATGTGCTTGCACATGCATACATGAACAGCCATGCGAAAACCCCCCTAGAAATGATAAGTGGCAACGCACCCAGTTGCCGATGTGATTCGGTGGGGGTGAGATCGTTCACTGTTGCTATGTGCTCGATGGGTATCACCTGTATGTGCCTGCATGTGCAATGTGCATGGACGCATGAAGGACGGATGGATGGATGGATGGATGGATGGATGGATGGATGGATGGATGGATGGATGGATGGATGGATGGATGGATGGATGGATGGATGGATGGATGGATGGATGGATGGATGGATGGATGTCATGGCATGGCACGTTGGCACCAGCAAGGCAAACACAGCCACGCTTAATGGGGGTGAGATCATTCACTGTTGCTATGTGCTCTATGGATAAGTGAACACACGGATGCATGGACACATCACATGGATGCATAGATGCATGGACGGTGGACGGTGGAGAAATACATCTATGCTCAACGGGACTGATATAGGAAAAAAAAACTCTGCGGGGCTTGGACCAATCACTGTACATGACCCCAATTGGAAAAAGTTTTTTTTTGTGTAACAGACAGACACATACATGCATGCACACATATGTATGGACACACAGCACATTCTCAGGGATTTTCCACTGCCACCAACCCACACCAACCCAGTCCATCAAACCCCGTCCAGTCTGCTTGTGTTGTGACTTACTTGTGAGCAGCTGGCCTTATATCGGGGAATGCTATTAACGAGTCATCCTGCACTGCACAACGACGGCATGACTCCGTACCGCCATTCCATTTCAGACTCCCCCATGCCATGCCATGCCAATAAGAGCCATTATACGCCGTGCTTTGGCATGCCATGCCAATCCATGCCATCCCATCCCATCCCATCCCATGCATGCCATGCCATGCCATGCCAGTAAGTGCAATGCCATGCCAGAACGTGAAATAGTCAAATGAAAACAGTAACCAATAGGCATGACTCGATTGCGGGTGATAGCAGAGATAAATTGACTAATCGGAAATCCAAGGGACACGTGGACACAGTACAAAGGAGTGAGTTACGAGCTAATACCCACAATCGCGTCACCTTGTAAAGCAGCGTGGTCGGCTCACGACCCGGCCGAGTGACGCCCTTGGCGATGTCGCAGAAGATGCAGTTGAGATTTTTCGCCATTCGCATGCTGCTTTCGCTAACGGGTCAGGATACGACTCGCAGCCCGGTGCGCGAATCGCGTTTTGACAGCGAAAGAAGAGTTATGCCGTTACAATTCTTTGAGTCAACTTTGAAGTTACCGCGAACGATGATGAAAGGACGTATTACCGTAGAGGTAACTTCATGCGAGGCCGCTCGCGAGGGTCGTCCTATAGTGTCGGCATCGCGCGATACACCATCAGAATGCGTGCCTGAACCACTTAATGCTATCTGAGTAGTAAATATAACGCTTCGTCAACAAACATTGGCGTGTCTGAACGAGCTAATGCGTCTACTAATCCGCTTCCTGACTCGAAAGTAACCGTTTACTCAACAATGGAGTGGCTGGACCAGCTACCGAGAGTTTAGTTTCTCAAAAGACACCCACGCAACGCGGCGCTTAAAAAGACGTGACTGTTTCTGCTTGCAGGTCGACTATCGCTGGCAGATCGTGCGAATGGTCAACTCCGATGGTGGGAATGGTTGCTCCTTAAAACCCGCAGGCCAAGAATTTCAACCTTAGGAAGGTTGGTTGGGAGTGAAAACGCAAAAGGCCTGCGAACCAATAGGAGTGTCCGAAATGTTGGACGAGGTCTAGAATTCGGGAATGATCACAGGCATTTTTGGGACATCCAACCAGCGCTAGGAAGGATGAACCGAATTTGGCCTTCTTGGCCTGCGGGTTTTAAAGCATTGTGAGGATATCCCTCGAAGCCGTGGGTGCTAGTGTAATGGCGTGTACAAAGTGCTGCAAAAACTTGACGTCGAGGGATGTCGGTGAATCCTGACGGTTGGAACCGTTGATCCGAGGGTTGAAATTCATCGACATCCCTCAGACGTTCACTTTGTACACGCCATAACGATTGTGCGTGTGTTGTGTTGTGATATGTTGTACCCAGGTTGGTATGAAAGGCAAGTCAGGGTCTGATAAGTATGTACTCGGGACTACACCCTATCAAACCATACTCTTTCTTAAAACGACCGTTTCGGATTGTACTCAGCCTTATTCAACCGCATTCGGACATCCTTTTCTGGACACACCGGAATGGATAAAGGCGCCACCGGTGAATGTAACTATTGCAGCATACAGAGAACCACGAGGTAAAAACGCTCTTCAATGGAAACATCTGCTTACCGTATCATGTTCTACGTAGTTTAAGGTTTAGGGTCACCACCGTAAATATATTAACAAGAACACTGGAGTCTACATTTCATCAAGAAGGTTCCATAAATATTTTCCTGCCTTTTTAGCTTGTGATTGTCCACTCACTGCTGCTGTTGCTGGTGCTGCAGCTGCAGGCACAGGTGTCACCACAACAGAACCCTGTTGAGGCATCCTTTCCCCAACATCACTCACTGCCGCTGCCCCAGCAGCAGCAGCAGATGCAGCATCACCACCACCACTACCAGCACCAGAATCACCCATAGCAGAACCAGCAGCAGCGCCAGCTACACCAGACCCACCAGAGCCCCAAGATCCAGCCAGACCAGCAGGAGATGCAAGAGAGGAGCCAGAAGCGCCTGATGCAGCTGAACCAGCCCCCCCCGCTGCTGTCGCAACACCACTCACACCGTTTTCACCATTCCCACCGCTCCCAGCAGCAGCATCAGCAGCACCAGGAGAACCACCCTCCCTGCTGCTCCTGCTCCTGCCTCCACTGCTTCTCAGGTCCGTCTTCTCCCATTTCCAGCGCTTCTTGCTGGGGTCATTGCTGTCAGGCACCAGCACAAACCGCCCACTGCTCTCCCTCACACTCACCTGCTTCGCACGCTGCTGCTGTTGCCGCTGGTGGTGCTGGTGGTGCTGCTGGTGGTGGTAATGTCGCTGATGCTGGTGGTGGTGCTGGTGGTGCCGGTCATGAGCCCTGGCGTCACTTCTGCTATCCTTCATCCCTCCTCTTCCCAGCACCCTTCCCTCTCTCCCGGGTGACAACAGGTCAGCAAGAGGACGCCTGTCCCTTTGAGGCCCAGCTGTTGTTGTTGCTGGATGGGCAGAAATGGTGGCGTTGCTAGATGCAGTGAATCTGAACAGTTCGCTGCCCTGCTGCTCCCTTGCTGCTACTTCTGCTGGTGCTGCTGCTTCTGCTGCTTCCGCTGCTGCTGTTACTGCAGCGACACCGGTTGTAGCACCCACGACAGCATCACTGCTACCACCCCTCTCTCCACTCACACAGGATCCACACTGCCCCGTGCCTCCTGCTTCTCCTCCTGCACCTGTTCCTTCTGCTTCTCCCTCGCTTCTTGCACCTCCTCTGAGTGCTACCCTCGCTCTAAGCTGCATGAGCAGACCCACTTCGTGAGGAGACAGCAGGCCGAGCAAGGGAGAAGACGCACCAGCACCACCAGGGGCCACCCCAGCAGGGACCACCCCAGCAGGGACCACCTCAGTAACCCCAGCAGCAGCCGCAGCGGAAGGAGCAGAACCACCAGCAGTGATACTACCAGTAGCAACAGTGCCAGCAGCACCACTAGTAGCGCCTGCACTCATTACCCCCACTTCTCCACCACTGCTGCTGCTGCCCATGTGAAACCCTAATGCTCTCACCACAGGCCCCCTGTGCCTTCCCATGCTTGAGTCAGTGTTCTCCAGCAAATACTCGATACTGTCATCTTCCCTAATCCATTTAAGAGGACTCAACTCGCCCTCCGTGCCACCAGATGAGTGACGGCTTGAATACCCTGTAGTCATCCCCTTGCCTGCTCTCGCTTGCTCCTCCTGTCTCCCTACATGGCTCCTTGTTCCCCCAATTCCAGATTCAATCATGTCACTGGTGGGGACTCCAGGGGTATCTCTGGGGAAATTACCCTGGAAAAAGAGCGCCTGCTCGGCAGCAGCGACCAGCTTTGCCAAGACCGCTGCTGCTGCAACATCTGATGCGCCCTCTACTCCCGCAGCGGCAGCAGCAGACGCAGAAGCAGCAGATGTGTGAGATGCAGAGTTACTGTCTGAGGTGAAACTAGCAGCTACATGTGAAGCAGTGCCACTGGGTGAAGCCAAAGAAGCACTTGGAGCAAAGGAGGCAGCAATTGGAGCAAAGCCAGCGCCAACAGAGACACCTGTAGTACCATGTTCAGCAGCAGAAGCAACAGCAGCAGTGCCACCAACATGAGCTTCGATCTCAGCACCAGCAGTAGTAGCAGCCGAAGCAGCAGCAGCAGACGCAGCCGCAGCAGCAGCAGCAGCAGCAGCAGCAGCAGCAGCAGCAGCAGCAGCAGCAGCAGCAGCAGCAGCAGCAGCAGCAGCAGCAGCAGCAGCAGCAGCAGCAGCAGCAGCAGCAGCAGCAGCAGCAGCAGCAGCAGCAGCAGCAGCGGCAACCTCATCGGACTTACTATCAGCGACAGTAACTCGATGGAACGACTCTGCCAATTCCACTGCCAGTGCTTCTGTGTCTGCTGATGTGTCTTCTGCTGTGTCTGCTGTTGTGTCTGCTCCTCCTGCTTCAGCTGAAAAAACTACTTGTTTTCCAGCCGTCCCCTCCTCCCCCCTTTCGCCCTCTATCCTCCTCACACCTGCCACTGCCAAGCCAGACCGAAAAGTATCCTCCAATTCACTCCCAACAACCACCGATTCCTCCTCCCTCTGCTCCTCCTTCTTCCCCCTTCCCCATTCGTTTCTGGAATCCGATTCAGCTTCTCTCCTCTTGACTACAGCCTGAACCTTCTTCATTTCTGCCCTCAATCTCTCCACCTCCTCCACCATCTCTGCATGCTCCGCCAAAGTCGGTCGGCCAATCGATGTGCCCTCTGCCCTCTCCCCCGCCTCTTCCCTCAGTCTCCTGATCTCCTCCACCATCTTCGCATGATCAGTCAGTGCCTGCACCCTCGCCGACTCCACCTCCTCCTTAGCGGTTGCCAGCGCCCCATACTCCTCCCTCAGTCTCTTCAATTCCCCTTCCATCCGCACCATCTTACCCACCATCTCCTGCTCTTCTTCCTGGTGCATGTTTCTCTCCCTGGCCTCTTCCCGTAATCTCTTAATCTCCCCTTCCATTCTTGCCACCTCCTCCACCATCTCTGCATGCTCTGCCAGTGCCTGGGCCATCGCCCGCTCCCCTTCCTCCTTAGCCGCTGCCAGCGCCCCGCACTCATCCCTCAGACTCCTCACTCCCCCCTCCATCTTTCTCGCCATCTCACCCACCCTCTCCTCCTCCCCTTCCTTGTTCCACAGGCCAGAAACCGTGGCTACACCATCTGCTCCACTTCTCTCCTTCGCCTCTGCCCTCGATCTCTTAATCTCCCCTTCCATTCTTTCCACCTCCTCCACCAGCTCTGCATGCTCCGCCAGCGCCTGTGCCATCGCCCGCTCGCCCTCCTCCTTAGCTACCGCCAAGGCCCGGCACTCCTCCCGAGCCTCCGCCAGGGCGGATTCCAAGGTTCGGTAATCCGCCAGCAAGGCCCGGATGTCCTCCAGCTGTCGCTCCGTAAGCTGCACAGAATCTTCAGTCGCAGTTGCAGTAGCAGCAGCACCAGCAGCAGCAGCAGCAGCAGCAGCAGCACCAACACCACCAGCACCAGCAGCAGCACTTGCAGCGAGAGTAAAGACTGCTGCGCCAACTTTCCCCGTGCCCTCCTGTGCCGCCTTCTCCTCTACCCATTCCAACCTCGCCTCAGCAGCTGCTGCAGCAGCACGCACCACAGCAAGCTCCTCTAGAGCAGCAGACAGGGCCTGCTGTGCTAAATCCAGTGCCTGCTGTGCTGATTCTAGTTCCTTGGCCTTGCTTTCCAGTGCTGCAACCGCCTCCTTCGCCCTCTCCTCCCACATCACTACCCTCCTCACACTCTCTCCCGCCCTCCTCTCACTCTCCTCCGCCCTCCTCTCACTCTCATCCGCCCTCTTCCCACTATCCTCCACTTCCCTCTCACTCTCCTGCAATCGCCCCTTCAGGGCCTCAATCTCAGCAGAACCCGCTTCCCCCCGGGCAGCCGCAGCAGCTGCAGCACTCGCGGTCTCCTGCTCTTCCGCTCGCCGCCTCTCCCCCTCCAGCATCACCAATCTCGCCTGCAACGAGACAATCACCTCCTCCCGCTTCTGCAGCTCAGCTGCTGTTGCTGCCTCAGCCCTTGCAACCTCCCCTTCCGCGCGCCGCCTCTCCGCCTCCAACTCTCCTATTCTCGCCTGCAACGACACAATCATCTCCTCTCGCTTCTGCAGCTCCACACCTGCTGCTGCTGCTGCCTCGGCCCTCGCAACAGCAGCACCCGCACCAGCCCCTGCAGTCCCCTCCTCTTCCGCTCGCCGCCTCTCCCCTTCCAGCATCACCAACCTCGCCTGCAACGAAACAATCATCTCCTCGCGCTTCTGCAGCTCCGCAGCTGCTGCTGCCGCGCTTGCTCTTTCCGCCGCTCTTGCCGCTTCTGCCACCGCTTCTGCCGCCGCCACTGCTGCCCCGGCCCTCACAATCTCCCCCTCCGCCCGCCTCCTCTCCCCCTCCAACGCCCCCATTCTCGCCTGCAGAGAAACAATCACCTCCTCCCTCTCCCGCAGCTGCACTCTTGCTTCCCCTGCTTCCTCCCTCGCCACCGCAGCAGCCGCAACAGCATTCACAGACTCCCCTTCTGCCCTTCGCCTCTCCTCCTCCAGCATCCCCATGCGCGTCTGCATCGAGAACATCATCTCGTCCCGCCGCCGCAGCTGCCCTCTTAGCCGCAGCACCTCTGCTCTGCTCGCACTCACTGCTCCCAGGGGCCTGTCAAGCGGATGCTGCGAGCCCAGCTCCGCGCTGCTCAGGCCTGCGGACGCTAGCGGCTTACCGACGGCAGGGGAGGGCAGCGGGGAGAGGTGCGAGCAGAGCGAGCTGTCAGAAGAACGCAAGTAAGACGCGTTGAAAGACCCTGGGGTGGACCCAGGACTAGGGGACTCTGGGATGGACGACTGTCGGATAGAAGACCCTGGGATGGTAAACCCTGGAGAGGCCTCAGGAGTTACTCCAGGGAAGGCTGACCCTGGCGAGGATTTGCTGAACGTCTCTGATCCGGGGAAGCCACCAACACGGGAGCTGTCCAATTCAAAAAGGGCATTGTACGAATAAGATGGGTAACTGTCAGTCGCGGCTTTCGTGCCTTCTCTTTCCTGTTCTCGTTCGAGATCTCCTTCTCGTTCACCAACGTGCTGCCACTGATACCCCCGGTGCCAGTCGTCCTGCGACCCCTCTTCGTACTCCGCCCCTTCACTCGCCTCCACGTCCCCTCCCTCTCGCTTCGCCCTCGCACAACACCCGCCCTCCGTCCCATGCTTGCAGAGAGAAGGGAGAAGGGAGCAGGGAGAAGCGCTCGCATCCGTCTTGCTCCTCCCGGGCGTGCTGTGAGGGCTGTGAGTTACACACGGGGAGGATCTTCTATCTGTCCTGCCCCTAGACCGCCCCGTTCCCTCAGCCTTGCCCCTAGACGGTCCCGCCCCCTCAGCACTGCTCCTGGAACGGAGCACAGAGGCAGGAGATTCGATCTTCTCCTCCTCCTCACTCGAGTTTGGAACAGCCAGAGCACCATCACCAGCAGCACCACTAGAACAACCACCACCACCGTTACCACCACTACCACCACCACTACCGATACCACCGCTACCAGCCCCAGCGCCATCAGCAGCAGTGCCGCCCGCGCTGCCCGCAGCAGCAGAGGTAGATGCAGCAGCTGCGTGTCCAGCTCCGGGCTCTTGCGCTTGCTTATCAGCGGCTGCGAGAGAGAGGTGTTTCAAGCCCTGCTCCAGAACACTGGCGGTAGTGCTGGTGTTGTTGGCGGTGGTGGTGGGGGTGCGAGGGGAGCGTGCAGCTGGGGATGCGAGGCTTACATTCTTCTCCCTTCCTCCTGCTTCACCTGCTCCTGCTGCTCCTTCTCCTACTCCTACTGCTGCTGCTACTGCTTCTCCTCCTGTGCCTCCTCCTCCCCCCCCTCCTCCCGGCCTTCCACTCCCACCGTGACTGCTCAATCTGACCCCATGCTCCCTGCACCTTCCTTTCCCCTTCCCGTTCCCCCCTCCGCTCTGCACACCCGAAGCAGCAGTGGTACAGCACGACGCTTCGGAACCCCGGCGAAACGGCAGAGGCTGGGTGCCGTCGCATGCTTGGTTGCGGTGGTGGTTGCTGTAACCAGGCCCGGGATGCATCTGCTGCTGCTGCTGGCCTTGGGCCATTTGTCGGTTGCGCAGACCTGTAGCTGCCATCGCGGCGGCTGCCACCGCACCCCCCGCCAGTGCCGCCCAGGGGAGCGCATCTGGGGGGAGCAGGCGCTGGAGAGGGGAGGGCGGGTGAGGAGTAGGGGGATAGCAGAGACGGCAGGTGAGGAGAAGGGAGGAGGGAAGGAGGGGGATGAAGGGAGTGCGTGGAGAAGGGGGAAGGAACGACAAAGCAGATCATGTAGAAGAAGTTGGACGGCAACCTTACGCTAATCCGTCTCATTTAATCCGCGTGTAGTGAGTCGACTCAAAAATCGACTCACTACACGAGGAAGTTGGACAGCAACCTTACGCTAATCCGTCCCATTTTGATCATGTCACTTGTCGTCACAATCTGTTACTCTGGTGTAGAACTTCGTACCTACCAAAACGGTCAACATCCCGTTTATTATCCTCCAAACAGTTTATTTTCTTACCCTGGAATAAGCGTCTCGATGCCTTGATGCTGAAGATGACTCATCCTGCTTCTGCCGCTTCGGCTGGGCTCCTTGCTGCTGAAGGTGCTGTTGGTGCCGCTTCTTTTCTTGATCTGAAGCTGACGATGCTTCTCGTGAGGTTTTCCGAAGCTGCGTCTCAGGTTGGGGCAGAACCTCTCCAGCAGCTGAATGCGGTGTAGAGTCCTTTAGCGACACGTCTACCTCAGCACGTTGCGACGGGTTACTGATTTGTTCGCTGGCTCCTCCAGTGACAGTGGCCGTGCGAACTTTATTCTGCAGGATAAAATATATACAGGAAGGGCGACAAAGAATCCCTATGAAAAACATGCTCAAACAAGAATAACGCGAGAAATACACATTCTCGGGAAGATAGTCATCGCAGTTCGAAGTAGCTCGAGATAAAAAAAAGGGCTGAAAAAGAGGGCTGAAGCGTCGAACACGATGCTTCGCGAACTTTGGAAACTGGCGTCGACTGTACTTTGCAAAGGCACAGACCAGGGAGCAATGCACTTTTCACCTACGATGCCCTTCGTCAAACATTTACCTTGATGCTGATCGATCCTTTCTGCGTGACATAGGTGCTCCAGTCGTGCCTCTCCATGATGAGAATTAATCAGGTAACTCTATAACTCGATTCTTTTATCTGGTTCGTCTGTGAAAATACAAGTACTACATCGCAAAGACGGGCTGGCGAACTAACATTTGGGCAGAGGGAGCATAACGAGAAGACTGGAATCAGCAACTGAGTTGTACTACTGGCCACAGCAGCTACGCTTCTGATAGACAACTAATAAAGTAGATCGCTAACCAGAACCTAGATTATGGCGGGAAGGAGTTTGCTGGAGGTGGTTGAGTTGAGTTGATCTATGCTATGTGCTGTTTGCATTGCACAGTACAGTAACCAATTCTCACCAAAAAGGAAACTCGAGGGTCGTTCATTGGTCAACCTCGATGTTTGCCTGCTTTCCCTACCTTTACCAAGAAGAAGGTTGTAGGCGGTCCAGTCTGCTGCATTAGACGTTTAGCACGGCGCAGATGGGTGGAATGCTCTTCACGAGAAGTTACACCTCGTCCACAAGTTCTTTCCGATTTTCGCTTGGTCCTGATTTTTGCGAAATGGGGGGTCAGCGAACTAGTGGACGAGAACGATGGCGACGGCACCCATGCTGCCACGTTCAACGAAACCTACGACACCCAACTGGGACTCCCGCGGTGGCGACTGGTTGACATTTCATTTCGTGTTGCACGAACGAGGCGACGGGAGGACGCAGCCGTTGGAGGCGAGGCGAGGGTTCCAAATCGCTTGTCAGACACGAGGTGGTAACTTCGTCGGTGCTTACATTTGGTAACCAGCTCAGCCCAGAAATGTAAGACGAGACAGCGGTGGTTGGGAGCGGTTTCGTACGATTTAGTTTCCTGATCCAAAATCCTCACAAAGCCAAACTTCAACCACACCACTTCACTGATCAATCAATGGCTATGGCTGATCCAGAGCGCATCTGCTTGTAAAAGTACCCCCTTCAAGCAACATCCCATAATATAAATGGCGATAACCATGGCAAAGCGACACGTAATGTGCAATTTTGCTGGACGAAAGTAGACGGCACAGTAGGTTCCAATCTTGAAGCGAGCGGCGCTTTCGTGTCCGCAATGCACAGCGTCATCTGGTCCGTTGGATCGCTACAACGTCCACACCATCATCCATGCCGCCTTCGTCCCCTTCACAGCTGTACCACTAAGGTACAGTACGTAGAATGCGCGCGAAACTCGTCTTAGCAGCACATGTGTCTTTCTGTCCTACGACCGAAGCAGATAGCTGGTCTTCCAAGCCGTCCTCAACCCATTCCCCTCAAATTTTCGCTTCTTATTCCCCGCATCTCCAGGCGTTTATCGCTCTTCTATTTCTGCTCGGTCCTGCTCTCTCCGCTTCACAAACTACCGAGACGCAAGAGTCGCCTAATGTGACTGCTCAGACGCTTGACAGCAACAGTGGTTCGACCGCGTCGAATCCCACCAAACCACCGAAGATCACACCCTTTAACTTCACTCTCTACCACTCCAGGTTCGAATCCACGTCCCCAGTATGGATCCTCGTTACAAGTTCGATTCCTGGCTCTGACATGAAGCCACTATCTCGGGGGTATCAATTGTAATTCTTGCCCCTGGATACATACATATGCCCCAGGGATCTTTTTCCCTGGCCTTCCCCCGTCTCTTCCTCCGCTGCGACCTCTCTTCCACCCAAGTCTCTTTGTGTCGTGTGCACCCGGGATTCCCCCCTGTCTATGATTACCATGTTGACCATATCCACGCAGTGATGCATTTGTATGAAGAAGTGTTTTGAGACGTCTCAAAAAACTCCGCTGCAACCTCTCTTTTACCCAAGTCTTTTTGCGACATGTGCACCCGGAATTCCCCCCTGTCTATGACTACCATGTTGACCATATCCACGCAGTGATGCATTGCTCCGCAAGATCCGCGCTCTTGCAGCCCGGCATCCCCATGCTGCAGAGGTGAGCTGTCCCTTGTCTGAGCACAGATGAGAGCGATGAGCAGCTCCCCCTGGCTCACATACTTAGTTACCAGTCATCCCAACCCAACCCCATGCTGCAGCAGAGGTGAGCTGGCATGCCGTTGCTGAACTGGTTCTATTATTATCTGCTTCCCTGCATCATGTCGCTAGTGGTTTGAGCAGAAGCATGGTAAAACAACGAACGAATCAGTTCCAATCGGGTATGTCTCATTTAGGAGGATGATATCAAGGATGTCTCCCTTTCGTTTCCTTTCCCTGCCGAATCTTCTCCTTTCCTGCAATGTTCTCCAACCAATGCAGCTTAAGGAGATAACGATTCAGTCTTCTGGCGGGTACACATCAACCCTCACTGCAGTCACGCTACACTGTGCACGCATCCCTCTGCCTCGCTCCCAAGCTGACATACCTGTAGCCTCGGATGCAGGCTCGGCCCGAGCCTCCGGTGCAGGCTTGGAAAGAGGTTTAGGAGGCTTGGACGGAAGGCGTGGGACTGCAGAAGGTGTGGAAAGGAAGCATTGGGTAAGGAGGAGGGATGGGGCGAGTAGTAGCACGCACAGGCGCCTCATTAGCCGCAGAAGTGACACCGACAGCAGCAGTGAGATGAGTGAGAGGAACATGAGGAGCACTTCTGGTGTGAGCAGGGACGGCGGGGAGAGCAGGGAACACAGAGAAACCATGGAAGTCAGGGAGATCAGAGTGAGCAGTGTTTATGATGGCAGGGAGGTGAGAGAGAGCAGAAGTCGCAGTGGCTCTGCCCCTGAGCCAGCAGACAAGGTACTCTCGAGAAGCAGCAGCGTGGAATCAGCGTCTGGGTCCACTTTCAGGTCTCGCCTGGGCAGAGTGATGCCCGAATGGGTGAGGAGGGCGTGGAGTACCGTGAGGCACGCTGCGGCTGACCCCTCCGACGCACTGCATTCGACTTTTGAGGCGTCTCAAAGGGCGTGGAGGGCCGTGAGGCACGCTGACCCTTCCGACGCACTGCATTCGTCGCTGGTACTACAGCTGCCATCATCACCATCCCCGTCACCATCCCCCCCCTCCTCACCATCCCCACCACCCCCGCCATCCCCCTCGTCGATGATATCACTGGACTCCTCCTCATTCTCACCTGCCTCGTCGTTGCTAGCACCTGTACACCACGACCACAGGAACCATCTGACAAACCTCACAACCGCTCTCCACTCAGATGTGCTCAGAACCCTGTCGCTCAGGCGAGACCTGCGCAGCATACAGCCTGGCAGACCCTCCCCTCTTCTTGCTGCCTCTGCTGCTTTTGCTGGTGCTACGGCTGCAGCTGCTGATGCTACTGGAAGGCAAGGTGGATTTGCTAAGGGCGCTGCTAACATGGGACCTTCTGTACGATCTGCTTCTGATGCAAGGAACAAGGGGACAGATGTGCCTGGTGATGCTGCTGCAGCAGACAGGGATGTAGCTTTTGCAATGAGTGACGTGGCTACTGCAAACAGTGACGTGGTGACTGCCAACAGTGACGTGGCTACTGCCAACAGTGACGTGGCGGGGGCGAGAGAAGGGGGGGAAGCGACAGCAGCGGACGAGGGCGCGTTCAGTGGTTTCGGTGGCGATGCTCGCTACTTCAAGAGGCTGGGGGGTGGCAGCAATGCGTCGTGCAGCAGTGCAGATACAGTGGAGGGGCTCTCCACGGTGTTCCCTGCGGAGCTGTCAGGGAAGCTGCGCATCCTCCTTGTAAGTACCGCCCACAGCTCGTGTTTGCTGCAGGTATGTTGGTTCCTCCTTCTGCCTCCCTCATGTGCAGCAGTGCAGATACAGTGGAGGGGCTCCCCACCGTTCTCCCTGCGGAGCTATCAGGGAAGCTGCGCATCCTCCTTGTAAGTACCGCCCGCCCACGTGTGTGTGTGTGTGTGCGTCAGGAGGTCTCCTTCTCCCATCTCCATCTCCCTCGTGGGTCGTACAGCAGTGGCAGCAGTGCAGACACCTTCATTGGAGGAGCTCTCTACACTCCTCCCTTCCCTTCCCTGCCGGGCTGTTGGAAAAGCTGCACATTCTCCTTGTAAGTGCGTGCGTGTGCTTCAGGAAGGAGGGCTTCCCTTCCCATCTGGCTCAACTCAATGCATCAGTGCAGTGCAGACAGCGTTGATGGGCTCTTTCTTTATGCTTCTCCTCTCCCTGCCGAGTTTTGAGGCGCCTCACAAAGCGTTGATGGGCTCTTTCTTCATGGTTCTCCCTACCGAGTTGTCGGGAAAGCTGCGCATTCTCCTTGTAAGAACCGCCCACGTGTGCATGCATGCGTGCGTGCGTGTGTGTCGTGCTTCAGGTAGGTTCTTGCTTCCGATTCGCTCATGAGCCGTACAGTATTGTCCTCCTGGCTGGTCCTCAAGGCTCAAGGTGTTTGGGCGGCACGGGAGAGAAGCCATTCGCAATGAGCTGAGCTGGGCTTTAACCTGCTCATGGTCCTTGTGGGGGGGGAGAGGTGGCGGAGAGAGGGTAGTGAACAATGCAAGAAGGGGTATTTTCGTCCGCTCACTCATGCCTCACTGTCCCTGCCCTGCCTCTTCCCCCTGCCCCCACCCCCTCCCCTCCCACCCCCTGCCTCCTCCCCCTCCCCTCCCACCCCCTGCCCTCAAGGCTCAAGGTGTTTGGGCAGCACGGACGAGAAGCCATCACCACTGAGCTGGGCTTTAACCTTCTCAGGGCCCTCGTGGAGAGAGGTGGGTGGCGGAGAGGGAAGTGACGAAGAAAGGAGGAGGTATTTCTGATTGCTCACTCGTGTCTCACTACCCTGCCTCTTCCCACTGCCCTTCCCCCTCCCACCCACTCCCACCCCCTGCCCTCAAGGGTCAAGGTGTTTGGGCAGCACGGACGAGAAGCCATTACTACCGAGCTGGGCTTTAACCTGCTCAAGGTTCTCGTGGGGGAGAGGGAGGTGGTTGAGAAGGGAGCGGCGGAGAAAAGCGACGAGTCGGGAGGAGGGGAGGAAGTTACGGAGGGAGAAGAGAAGGAAGGGAAGGGTGAAGGGAAAGAGGAGAAGAGTGAGGAAGTGGAGGAGAAGGGGGAGGGGGGTAGGGAGGGGGGAGGGAAGGAGGGGTCTGAGGGTGGAATAAGGTGGGAGCAACTGGCTCTGATCTGGCCACACCTGGTTATCACGGTGAGTTGACCTGTGAGTCGACGTCGTCGACTGGGTAAACAATATCCTAGAACTCTTGGGTATGGTTTTTTAGGCGCCTCAAAAAGTTTTGAGGCGCCTCAAAACTCGACGACGACTGAGTAAACAATATCCTATGGCTCTTGGAAATGATTATATGTGTTTTGCTGGTCCTTTTTCTCGCAGATCGTGCCCATGGAGAATGTGAACGGGAGGAAGAAGGTGGAGGCAGGCGAGCTTTGTGAACGACGAAACGGTGAGATGTGATGTAACGAGCAGAGATGTAACGAAGAGGAGAGATGCAATGTAACGACGGGCGGGGTTGTTGTAATGTGAAGCACAAATGGAGCTTGATTTCAGAAGATGTGGGTAGACCAAAGAACTGGGACCACCACCATAGAGAGATTCACTTGAATCATGCAACTGGGGTGTGTAGCACTCCACAATCACGTGGTTTTCCATTCACAAGAATTGCTACCACGCGGCATGAAATGGCTGCTTGGTTCTTGAAATTGCTCAAGCACAGTTGATTACGTGACGTTGGCTCTCTCATAGGGAACCAATCCTCCGTGAATAATTTTCTAAGCAATACACATTATTGTTAATTCTAAGCAATACACATTATTCTTAATTCTAAGCAATACACATTATTCTTAATTCTAAGCAATACACATTATTCTTAATTCTAAACAAATAGTTTTCAAGAAATGAGCACACTGAGGCAGGCTTCCTGCTTTTCACTCAACTCAATCCGTTGATCTCTAGCCCTTCCCCTTCCCCATGGCCCCTTCTCCATGGCCCATCCCCCATGGCAGGGCGTGGTGTGGACATTAACAGGAACTGGGACTGCGACTGGGGCGTGAAAGAAAAGGTAGGTTACCACACCACACCATGCCACACCACACCATGCCACACCACACCATGCCACGCCGCACCATGCCACACCGCACCATGTCACACCTCGCCGTGCCTCACCGCACCATTGAGACTGTAGCCCGTGCTCTCTCCCTCCTCCCTTGCTCTTCCTCGTGCAGGACTACAACCCTCTGGAGTCTGGAGGACTCCATCAGTAGTCTCACTCTCCCTCACTCCCTCACCCCCTCACTTCTCAACTCCCTCTAATATCCCTTTGCCTCCCAGGACGACAACCCTTTAGTGGAGGCCCCTGGGACTCGTGCATTCAGCGAGCCAGAGGCAGAGGCAGAGGCGGTGAACTGGCGGTTTGGCTGTTTGAACCTCACCGTTTCGATTCGCCCTTATCATCTCCCTTCCCAGGACTACAACCCTCTTGAGGAGGCCCCTGGGACTCACGCATTCAGCGAGCCAGAGGCAGAGGCAGTGAGGCACCTGGCAGTGTGGTTCCAACCACACGTGTGGTGTGAGTGAACGGTAAACCAACCTCGCCATTCACACACACAACCCCTCTCTCCTGCCTTGCTCTCTTGCTCTCTCACCCCCAACCTCAGGACTACAACCCTCTGGAGGAGGCTCCTGGGACCCACGCATTCAGTGAGCCAGAGGCAGAGGCGATGAGGCGGCTGGCGGTGTGGTTCCGACCGCACGTGTGGGTGAACGTGCATTCGGGCATGGAGGCGTTGTTTACTCCGCTGGACCACAGGGGGGATGGTGTGGATGCAAACACACTTGCAGCCATGCACGTGAGTGGAGAATACAGGGAGGGAGAAGTAGTGTGCTGTGAACGTGTGGGTGAACATGTGGGTGAACGTGTGGGTGAACATGTGGGTGAACGTGTGGGTGAACGTGCATTCGGGCATGGAGGCGCCTTTGTCCCCCGTTGACCACCGGGGAGATGGCGTGGATAAGAGCACCCTCCCTGCCATGCATGTGAGTGAGTGAGTGAGTGAAAGGGGGGCAAGGAGGGAAGGTATGGGTGTTCTGGGTGCACGTGTGGGTGAAGGTGCATTCGGGCATGGGGGCTCTGTTTACTCGCCTGGAGGCTGGACCACAGGACGGGCAAGTCGTTTAACAGTAGACACTTTGCGGATCGGATTGCGAAGCAAGCGCAACATAGACCAATGGTGCCAATTCATTCTAAAAAAATACTCAAGATTACTTGACCTCATTGCTGCCGTTCCAGTCACCGTCTGACTCGTTCCTACCCACTGCTGTGCTCGGTGTGTCACGAAATCAATCCCATGTTTCCACGGTCCACCCCTCCAACATCAATCTCTCCTCTCTTCCCCCCTCCTACTTCTCTCCCCTCGCCAGTCCCTCTTGGAGAATCATAGCCTTACATCTTCCACGTGCCTTCCTCTCCTCCCTCTCTCTCCCCTCGCCAGTCTCTCTTAGAGCGCCTGGATGCAAGCCACTGTGGTGCTCGCTGTGTCATCGGCTCTGGCGGGGGCTTTGTGGGGTGAGTGCTGCGAGGTTGAACTTGGTGCTGCGAGGTTGAAAGTGGTGCTGCGAGGTTGAAAGTGGTGCTGCGAGGTTGAAATGCATATGTTCCCCATGAAGCCTCTCTAGCCATCCAAGTTTCCCAAGCCTCTCAAGCCTCCCATACACTCCTTCCAGCCACCCACCCCCCTTCCTCGTCTCCCCTCTTCGCCTCCCCTCTTCGCCTCCCCTCCTCGCCTCCCCTCCTCGCCTCCCCTCCTCGCCTCCCCTCCTCGCCTCCCCTCCTCGCCTCCCCTCCTCGCCTCCCCTCCTCGCCTCCCCTCCGTGCCTCCCATAAGTACTCGCACAGGGACATGCTCCAACTGCTTTCCACCATGGCACTGTGATGTGTGTTCTCTTCCTCTCTCCCTCTTTTTCTCTTTTCCGTTATCAACACCCTGTAGGTACTTTGCCCATGGCACGGCCACTGACTGGATGCACGATGTGCTCTGAGTACTGTCAGCATGGCGTGGAGGTGCTCTGAGTACTGTCAGCATGGCATGGCATGGCGTGTCAGCAAATGCTTCCTCACACGCTCCACCCGTTCCCCTCCTCCCCGCCCCATTCGCCTTCCCTCCCCTGCAGATATTTTGCCCACGGCATGGCCACTGACTGGATGTAAGATGTGCTGCGAGCGTTTGCAGCATGGTTGTGGGATGTTGAGTCCTCATTCCCCCAATCCCCCATCCCCCTCCACAGGTACTTTGCCCATGGCACGGCCACTGACTGGATGTACGACGTGTTCCCTCCCCTCTCGCTTCCCCTCCCTTTCTTACTCCATCATTCCACCTCTCGTCCCCCCTCTCTCTCCCCCCCTCTATCTCCACCGCAGCTACTTTGCCCACGGCACGGCCACTGACTGGATGTACGATGTGCTGCGAGTGCCACTCGCCTTCACGTTTGAGGTGAGAGCACCCTTGCAGCACAGCTGAAAAGTTGAGGCGCCTCAGAAATCAAGTTTGAGGTGACGGACAGCATTCCAGCTGTTGGACGTTTTTATTCTCCTTCCGTGCTTTGTTTCAGTCCTGTATTTCACTCCATCCCTGCATTGTCTCATTCTCTCTTTCCCTATCGCAGTCTACAGTGCCGTGTTACAGAGCCTGCACCCCCTCTTTCCATGCACCTTGTTCCGCGTTTTGCTTTTGTTCCCTCCCTCTGATCCATCCCGACACGTGCGCTGAATTTGCGTCATCACCCATCCCCCACCCCCACATACGCACACATCCTGACTGCACTTGGGCCTTCGGCCGCGTCACATCCCTTCCCCCATCCCTTCACCCATCCCTCCATTTCCTCGGCTAATCGCCAGACATTTGGAGATGAGAGTTTTCCCACCTCCGACTGCTTCCCACTCTTCAACCCCATCACAACTGATAAGTTCCAGGTACCCACTCCGGCTCCCCTGTGCTATCCCATAGAGTAGTAAGCATGCTCTTTTTGAAAGGTCAGCAATTCTTTTTGCTACTTAACACAGTGCATGGTTCCTGATTCCCACCACTACAGCAGCACTTTCTGCCACAAATTGCGTCACTGCCTTGCTTGGCATGTGCTTTCGCTTCATGCCTATTAGGTATGTCCCTTACATTTGCCCTCTCTCTCTTTCTTTCCCTATGCCTCCTCCAATGAAATGAATGCATGCAGGAGGTGGTGAACTCATGGACAGCACTCTTCGTCTCCTTCCTCGCTCTCCACCCTGACACACTCCACAAGATTCCCCACCGCCTGCAACCCCTTTTCACCTTCACTCTCCCTCCACCTCCCCCTCCACTTCCTCTTCCAGTTTCACTCACTCCACACCACCCCACCACACATATGGCCTCTCATCTCGTCTCGCTTTCACGACTGCAGATGCCGTTGCCTCATCTGCACTTTCTGTTGCCTCTTGTACTCCTTTTAGGCCTCTCTGCTATGGTCCCACGGTTGTTTGCTGTTGCTGTACGGTCAGAACATACACGAAGGCGCATAATGCGTCGACTACTTCGCAGGCAATGGTGAACATCAGATGCCCGAGAACCATTTCTGTGATAATGATGTACATTATTCATGGCCCTTGCTCTGGCACTGCTTGCTCCTAAAGACTGCCTGCTTCTGAAGAAGTTGCACTGTATGCACAGCTAAACAATGCACTAGCCAAAGTAACTGAAGGATGGTTATTGAGCTGGTTATTGTGCTGTGCAGGGTTTTTTTTTTTTTTTTTTTTTTTGGTTGCGAAGCAACCCTTTACGATCGATTTTGCCAAATTTTATTTTCATATTTATTAATTTTAAATAAAATATGAAAATAAAATTCATAAACTACAGCACCCTTCCCATACTGTGCATATTGATTAGTTGTCAATCTTGTTCACAATACATCAAACCATATGATTTTTTTTTATCATATGTTTTGTGCAGATGTGTTGTACTGTTTGCATTATATGTTTTACTATTAAATGGTGTTGTAGTAATGATAAATAAATGCATGTGCATAAAATAATGCTATATGCATAATGTTCAATATGATATGTCATGAATCATTATGCACATGTATGCACATAATAAAATGCGTGACAGTTAACGACCCAATAACTAAGCTACCGCCATCCAGGCCCCTAGATTCGTTTTGAGGTAGTCTGAGGCCTCAGAGTACACCCCTCCTGGAACTCTGTCTGTCAGAGGTGCCTCAAAATTTTAGTCTGAAAATTCAGACAAGCACAAATTTTTTTGTCTGAACTGTCAGAGTTACTTCAAATTTTAAGATGTTCATGCAGTTTCGTAAAAGCAGTTATAATAGCATTGAGGCTGATTACAGCCTACCATACCAACGCATCAGGCAACGTGCTCGTGCTCGTGCATCGCCTCTGCTCATGTCGGCAGCGTTCCAGTGTTTTTGTCACGTGCAGCGCATGGTTGTTTCTGCTCTGCTGATCTCATTTCGTTTTGTCGTGTGTGTGATTACCGTTCTGTACCCATTTTCTCGCATGTGTGCCGATTTTGTCAGTTTTGGATTTGCTTTTCAAGCGATTCGATCGTTCACCCGATCTGTATCAGGTGGGCCAAGTGCCACGCAGCTGAGCTGGCAGCAGGCAGATTTGTTGCTTGGCGCGGCATGTGAGGATCAGACAAGTGCCACACGAAACTTTCAGTACGAATCAGGAACTTCGCAATTCACACCAGTGCGTGCTGCAGATGTTTTTACAGCGAATCAGCATCAAAGTCGCCTATTCTTTACAATACATTGAGAAAGCTTGCTTTCTTATTTTTATCAATTGGCATCGTTCTCATTACAACTGGCTTATTACAACATTTGCATCGAGATTGAACACAAGCTAGTGCATGCTAATATCACTAGCTAAGATGTACCCTATCCAAGTGGCATTAGCAAGGCGTTCTACGCTGGGGTGGGTGGTGGGGATGTTGAGTGAGCCGTTTGAAATAGAGAAACGTGGGTGGAGGGAAATGAGCTCCAACCCACGGTTTTTGTAGTTGGAGAAGGGCGTTTAGCGCGCTTCGACGATGCCAATTGTGCAGTACAAGCAGCTTCGCTTTCACAATACACAATTTTAAAAAACACAATGTGTGTTTAAAAATTATAATATTGAGAAAGCTTGCTTTCTTATTTTTATCAATTGGCATCGTTCTCATTACAACTGGGGTCTCTGAGACATGGGCAGCGGGGGCCTCCTATGGCGTACGAGCGCCTCTGTGTGTTGCGCCGAAGACACCGCCTGCGTCGGATCTTGCAGGTTGCGGGATGCTGTGATGAGAGGCTCGACGTATGGCGTGACGTACATTTCCTTAGCTGTGTCGCTTCGCCATCTGCCCAGCCGTTTGAAGACTCTGTCTGGCACTCCAGTGTTGGCTGCTACTGTGGCCGCGCCTTTTCGGAAAGAGTGAGTGCCGAGCTGCAGCTCTCCCAGACCAACTTTTGCGAAAGCTTCCTTACACCAGTTCCGAATTGTAGTGTATGAAGGCGGCTTCGCTTGGCCTTTGCTGCTTGAAGCGTGCCCGAAGACACGAATCAACGGTCCCTCTGACTGAGGACCATAGCCGGCGAGTTGGATGAAGCGTCGGGTGCAGCGCACTGGGCAACAAGGGTCTGTCGTTGCTGCAATGGGTATCCATGTTCCGTGACCGGCCTGATCGGTCTTAGAGTGTGGTATGAGGATCCACATGACCTCTTCGTCGAATTGGATGTCTTGCCATTGTATGGCCACTAGGTCGGAGTATCGCAGAAATCCTGAGTACATGAGGATGGGGATCAGCCCTTTCTGAAATTCCGCAGGGTCGTCAGACTGCAGGTAACTCCCGGCCATGTCGCGGACTTGTTGGATCGATACGGGTTCCTTCAGACGAGTAGGGCGGGGGCAGTGTCGTTTTGCACAGTCGCGGACTTGGGTGGTAAACGGACCGATTGTTGGGCATTTGTTCCCAGTCATGCGATGGGCGAAGCTTACTGCCGAGCACGTCAGCTGCACCACGGACAGGGTGGCTTTGCGTCGGATTGCGTGAACCAGGTATAGTGCGAGTGTCATGTCGGAAGCTGGAAGAAAGGAGCGATCCACTTTTGTGCAAAATGCTCGAAGCTTGGCCCAGTATGGTTCGTATGTCCGGATCGTAGAATCGGCGCGTGACTGCGCGAGCATTTTGATCAGTTGGTCGTGTAACTTTGGGAGCAAATCTGAACACAGGAGTGGACAATATGCATTAGTCAAATACCACTCGCAGTGCAATGATTGGGCTATGCGGTAGTCCCGTGCCCGAGAAGGCAGTAGAATGGGACCCTGTATCTAGGCATTGGCTTCCGTGTGTGAGAGGGATGTGCGCGTGGATGTGTGGAGCCCAAGTACATAGGGAGGGTTGCAAAAGTGGCCACCAACTTGCGCCTGGCCAGTGCGGGACTATTAATGTGAGTGATGCATGGGTGCGTTGTGCATGGTGGAGGACGGCTGGGACCAGTTGGGGTGGGGGGAAGGCGAAGTTGTTTTCGGCTGTCCATGCGATCGAGAACGCATCAACTGCGATGGCTTCCGGGTGGGGGATCTTGGTGCAAAAGCGCGAGAGTTGGGTGTTGTGAGAGTTTGCAAAGAGGTCGATGGAATGCGGACCCCAACGACGTTCTAAGATGCGAAACCACGGCTTCTTCAACGCGTAGTCGTCGTGGTCGACCATTTTTGAAAGCTCGTCAGCATGTGAATTGAGCTCTCGCGGGATCCATTCAATGATCAAGCGCGTGCCGAGCCCCATGCATGTTCAGATGATGCTTTTGCAAGCCATTGTGAGGTCAGAGCTGTGAGAGCCGCCTTTGCGACGGATGAAGAATACGCCCTGGTTGTCCACCCGCACGAGAACGTGTTTTTGCTTGATCTTGTTGGCGTACGTTTGGAGCGCCCAAAGGACGCCTTCGATCTCCCGCCGCGTGCTGGACGTTGCCTGTAGTGGCTCTGACATGGTTGCGCTCGCTTCTTCGAGGCCACCCGGAAATGTAGTTAGAGTGGCGCCCCAACCATGAGAGCTGGCATCCACATGAATTACCGCATCGTAGCTGTTCCGGACGTGGAAAGGTGCACCGTTGAACCGGTCGAACTCCTCAAGCCAAAAGTGTAGCTCCTCTGCTGCGGCTGGGGGGATGACCACGTTGCTTTTCCATGACGGTGCGTCGTTGATTACTTGTAACATGGCGTGGCTGAATGCGCGAGCGGTCGCGCCAAGTGCGACCCCCATTGATGCGAGCATGCCTGTGATTCTGGCCACGTGGCGGACCGGGACTGGTCGGCATGCCTTGCTTGCGCTCAGGAGGTTTTGGATGGTTGCATGTAGTGAGGCTCGTCGGTCGGGACCGATGGAGAATCGACCGGTATCGGTTTCCAGCTCTACACCCAAAAATCGTAGGCGTTGCGATGGTGACAGCTGTGATTTCTTCGCATTTATCACGAGTCCTGCCTCTTTAAGGTCCAATATCACACGCTGGCAGATCGCTTGCGCATGGTCTTTCGACTGACAGAGGAATAAGATGTCGTCCACGTAAGGGATGACTCGGATGCCTTGTTCTCGCCAGCGCCGAGCCAGTTGCTTGATGAGCTGCGTGAAGACGAATGGAGCTGTCGCGAGGCCAAATGGCAGTGAACGAAATGCGTACGTGCGCCTCCCAAATTCGAAGCCGAGGAACTTCCAGCATGATGGGTGGATGTCGATGTGGTGGTAACCGGATTTAAGGTCAATGGAGAACATCCAATCCCCAACGCGTGCCAGGTCCGCCACGCGGTTGAGCCCCTCGTACTTGAACTTGGGGACGATTAAGCTTGCGTTGACTTTCCGCAGATCAAGAATGAGTCTGCATTTGTCTTTTTGCTCGACCACATTGAGTGGACTTATACACGTCAGCTCCGTTGCGGGCATCTGGACTGCTGCTCCGGTCTCTAGGAGTTCTTGGATAGCGGTACGC